TTCCCTATCAGGGCCCACTTTTTCCCAAGTCCTGCTTGTTCCCCTCATGGAGCTATTTCCATGCCTTCATTTACCTTAGCAGGAAATGTAAGAAAATAAACCCTACCAGGTCTGAATTTAACAGTGAAAGACACAGGGACACTACAATAAAAAGAAGGGACACAGAAGAGGATGACAACAGCGTGACCACTGCACCACACCTGTGCACCAAGGCATTATCAGGAACCTGTAGTGAAACACAGGAGCACAAAGAACACACTTCCATAAAGAACACATCAGCCCCAACACATACTTAATAAAGTTCAATAACATTTTACTGCTTCACCATGCAAGTGAACAGTTACTCAAAGTCGCCTCATAATACAACATATATTACTTCTGAGGTAAGGCTACAAACTCATGGAGACAAGCTTATCCTTGCTGCAAACCCTCTGCAGTGAAGGATACCTCTGAGACCAGTGCTCTTTTTTGAAGGGAATTTTAAAGAATAAACCAGAAAACTCTTTTAACATGCCAAGGGCTTCACAATACTTCTTTTCTTGCTTTACAAAGCAAGCTTTCTAAAAATCCTGAAATCCATTTTACCATCCAAAATGGGAAGACATACTAATAGTTAATCAATTTTAAAATAAAAGTGAGGGACCCATTTCCTCTTCCTCAGTAATCTTTATATAATAGCTGTGCTTTGGGATGATTTTCCTGTACTAGAACAGAGTCATGAGTATTTCCATTTAGGTCACAACTTTCTGCAGATATATTAACCACAAGGAGGTACCGGATAAAATAAATCCTCTAAGGAAGATACAAGTCCAGATACTTCTTCAGGAAAAGAACTGAACAAAGTGTAGGAAACTCCCCCCTACAAAATAACATGGAAAATCCTGTGTCTGTCTAAAATGCTTTCAGTTAAATACAGTACTTGTTAAAAACCTTTGCAATACTTAAAGGTAATGTCCCAGCACAAAGGTAAGACACCATAAAACAATTACAAGAATAATTTATTTTTCACAGTGTGGCCTATACAAAATGTAACAGAAGTATTTGTGAACCCTTCTGTAGATCTGTTTTTGGTGTTCATTCATCAGAGATGGTAGTGCAGCCAAGGAAGGAACCCAGTACATTCTGTGATGGCAATGAAAAGCATCTGTGGAAACCAGCAGGAACACTGCCCTTTCAGGATCTCATTTTTTCCCACATTAACTCCGCCAAAAGGCAATTTCTCAGATGAATGAGCCCACAAAGGATGCACAGAAAACAACCTGGATTTTGTACCTTCCTCACTTGTATCTCAAGGAGAGAGTGCAATACTGAGTCTCTCCCACCTTCCTCAAAGAAAAACCACAGTAACACCAAAACTACCCATATACTGATCTAGCTTGTTCTCTACAGGCATGGTTTTGGTTTTACTCAATATATTTACCCTGTTGATTGTAGGTCTTGCCTATGAAGCCAGTGGGCAGTGGGTGGCAGTACCTTTAGCCCTTCTCATCATCCACCCCCCAAGACATTCACACTAATTACCCTGATCAACTTTAACTACTGTCAACAAATAAATAACAGCTTTGTTGGAAGGTGGTTTCTGCCTTTCCCATCTCAGCTGTCTCCTTTTCCAAATGTTATTCCAGAGGTGGAGCATAACAGCTAAGAGCTCCTCATCTCTACCCTCCCTTCCACTTTCACATAATGGCTTACTTTCATTCAAGGGCTGTTCCACTGCATTTCTGTAAAGGAAAGTTTCAGCTGTCAGCATCAGTACACTGATGAAAGACTTGGGTCTTGTGTAAATTAACAAGTAAATGTAGGTTATGTCTCTTATACAGCAAGTGCTGCTTTCTCTTGTCGATGTTACGCATGAAAACACAGTGAAGTTGACTGGCTTTGGCACTTGGGCTACAAACGCAAGTACATTTTTTAAGAGAGATCCCTACTGGGGCACACTGAACTACATATTGTGCTGCAGTACATTTTCTGCAGGGTTAGCTTTGAATTCCCGTTTCTGTGCTGTTCCACATCACAGGGCACCTGCATCCTTTTGCTACACCAAGAAGTCTTAATCTTTTTAAAATTTTAACTATCCACGTGCAAGGCGTGCACCACAGTCACCTTTCTTCCTCACTGATTACTGCTACATGACACAAGGGATGACTGCTGGACTGAGAGCTCCTTTCCTTTTCTCCTGCCAGTTGTCACACCGGCAGGCACAAGCCATACCCATGAGTATCACCACACTCTTCTTTCAAAGATCACCTCAAACTAAAAGGCCTACCAAAAAAATAAAGGATATCACTGTCATGAAAGACAGTGATTTATCTCCTAACAGCCAGGTCTTGTCCTCTTCACACACAGCCTCTGGCCCATGGTCCTCAATACGATTTCTGCTCTGGATTTGTTAACAAAGAGTTGATGAGAAGTCCCATGCTACCAAGTTTGCATGGTTTATATAGAAATATTCCTCACTGCATTTAAGTAATGTCCTGCTTGAGAGCCATTAGGGAGAACTAAGGTCTAGCAAACATAATGAAAGTTGGTCATACCAGCAGCCAGAGTTGTCTCCTCCTGAAAATGCCTAAATAGACAAGCAAATTGATTCATGAGTTAGCTTCCTTACAAGGTGAAATACAATTCCAGTAAAACTCAGTAGGGCAACTCCTGTATATTTTTTACAGGTCATCCTGTAACACTTCCACATTTAAGGAGATGAGCATATTCCTCAAAGGCTCTGTAATGGAAGCCATCCAGGGTATTAAGCAGAAGGTTTCCTCCATTTTCTTCACTGAAGCATGACAAGCTAATGAATTATATCACTGCAGCACGGGTTTAATGGTATCTCCTGCCACCTTAATGGAGGATCAGAGATGCTATTTTTAACACAACATGTCAGACCATCAGAATGATGGAAGAAATTGTGAATACAGAGTAAGGTTAAATAAACTATGATAATGTACTGCTACATGCTTAACACAACACTTCCCTGAAAGCTATGAAAGGCACAGATGGTCCATCCAGAGATAATAATGGTGAAACAAATGAAACACCACAGTCTTCATGCAATCTAACAACAAACGCATCATGATAACAGAAATAGTTTTGAAAGAAAAGATCAGAAGAGCATATTGAACGTAATTTTAACTATGAAATAAACAGAACCTTGAAAGTTTATATCCTTAAGTAGGAAGAAGGCAAGAAGAAGAATTTGTACTGGCAGATTAGTGCAACATTGCAACAATATCCCAAGTCTAATCCACAGTGTATATTGTCACTTATTGCCACTACTGCTGTTAGACCAGCTATCACATACCATGTCCTCTACATACTTAGATTACCAACACTCAGTATAGAGATAACAGTGGCTATTTTATTGTTATCTTTGAAACAGTTACTTTAGTTTTATTATTTTTAATAGCAGTTTCTTATAGTACAGTTAGTTTTCAAAAACATTCATTTTAAATAGTTGTATTTATAGTACAGTAAGATTGATAACTGCTATTTTATAGAATTATAACACGTTAGTTAACAGAAGTATCGTGAAACATACTCCAATCACTGTTCTATTCTACTAATTCCTGTTAGAGCGAGATATGCATCCATCATAGCGGGACCCATTCAAAACTTCACAGACAGATCCACAGAAGCCATGATGGTAACAACAGAGAAAAGGCAAAGGTCTTGCCACTACTGTACTTATCATTAAAGGTGTGCACAGCACACTGTGGGCTGCTGATGTGAACAGGGGAGGACTTTACTGTCTGCCTGTAAATCCAGCCTTTGGTGGAAATACGCAATAAAGAGGCTTTTGACAGAATCGTGACAGGTCAAAGCGGGGGCTGAAAGTCCTGGTGAGGACTGACATTGCCATTCTGGTTTAATTTTGGATGGGTGAAGCAGCTAAAGAAGTACCTCAAGATCAGCACATGGACTAGAAATCCTAAAAGGCCTTGTTGCTATTCCTAACTCACTGTGGGTGAGACAACTGACAGAAGGGTGTGAGGCTGGGATGGCAGATGAAAATTCTCTTGACAGGCAGTACCACCCATGTCAGCCTCATTGTGGACGGGTGGAGTAGTTAGCTTGTCTCCAGTGCCCATGAATTCCTGCAGGATCATTTATTCAGTCTTTGTTCTCCTGTGAATAGATGCCATACTCAATGGTAAAACTTTTCCTTAGTACGTAGAGCAGATTCTTCTTTCTGTGGCCCAAACTGTTTCCTAAGACTGTAAATTATTTCCTTCCTTCATATATATTGATTTGTAACTTTTACAGATTGTGATCACACTCCCCAGTGAGCATTTTCTTCTAGACTCTTTAATTATCAAATGAGTCCATGGAGGGGTTCCAGAGTACTATCCTGAAGGGCACACACCACATAAAAACTGCTTGGAGTGAAAAATGCAACCTAACAGATTACTCTGGGAAATGGAAGAAAAATAATCTCAAAATTCTGGACACAGTCAGGAGCTTGGCAACTGCACGAGCTGCTCTGCTCCCAGATGTTCTGTAAAGAAAATGCTGAGAGGAGGAAAGCCCAAGCATGACACAGAAGTTCCCTGCAAATGTTAACTCTTTAACATAGACATACTAGAGTGGTTATAAAGCAGTTACTTCAGAGGAGTCATCAATAATCAAATGTATTAAAAGATTCAGACTAAAATGTTAACCAGCACAAAGGTTCTTAAACCTATAAAAAGGGCTGTTTCTTCTGGACAGACAGGATATTCCACACATTATTCTTCAAAATAACCTAGATGCTGTTGTTACTCACAATGTTAACACTATAACATTAAATGGCAGTGACTGGCTATTGTTATTAGCAGTTTCTCTCATCCTCGCTTCCAATCTCCTACCTTTCCTTGAAAGCCATCTGAATGGAGCTACGTGTAATATCCCACACTATTAACATTTTAAACCAGATTCTTACGCATTATTTTAAGAACTCGCTCCAAACTCTCTTTTCTTCCATGTGCATTCTTCATAAGGACCATTTAGAACCACTACTGAGATCTTCCAAGCCCACCCTGGGACCCTTCTCCCCTGGTATCCATGTTCTGATTCCACGAAAACTTTTCACACAAACCTCTCATCCTTTTTTTCTTAAACCACTAAGCACTACTGGGACTCAACATTTGTATCTCAATGAGACTTTCAACACTTCTTTCTATGGCTGTTCTTTCATATTACATGGGAATTTGTGCAGAGCTTTGTATCCTATTCTCTGCTTCCCAGTAGAGTCATTTATTTAGTCATTCATGAAGTGTTCCTGTTTCACATTAGTACAAGCCCAAAATTTTCAAATGCTTCACAAATGATTAAAAAAAAGGGAAATTCCTACGCCTTCCCAAAGATATGCAGGTTTGCCATGGCCATCTTCATGCAAGAAGAGATGCTGGCACCAGAGACCCACAGGCACTGCCACATGCTCTGCACTCTCCTGCAACTCACAGGAACACAGTGATGGAGATCGTAATTCCTGGTCCTTCATATCTCTCGCAATGGCCCTGAGAACAAATCCCACCCTGGTCCTAACCTTCCCCACCCAACCTTTCCTACATGGAAATGAAGTGGTGTTTCCCACAGGATATTCTAAGTTTGTGTGTGCTGATGTTTGTGGGTAAAGGACAGACAAAAGACAGACCAAAAGATTCCCGAATCCCATTCAGCTACACATCTTGTCCAAATCCACATATTTTCTTTGTTTTTAGGGAGTGTAAGTTGCAGCCTGAAAACTCACGTTTTCGTGCTTCATGTGTTTCAGGAGGCGCAGCTCTCGGTAGGCGCGTTTGGCAAAGAGTTCAGACTGAAATGGGCGGTACAACTTCTTAATGGCCACTTTGGTACCACTTCTTCCGTCCATGGCTGAGCTTTAAAGAGAGAAGGAAGAGTTTGGTGAGCGAGGGCTGAAGTGCTGGAGTGCGGCCGCATCCTGCCCGTGCTGCCCAGCACTCGGCCAAGTGCCTGCGTGGCCTCCCTGGTCAAGGGAGGAGACCGCCGCGCCTACAGCATCCCGCGTCTGGTTTACTTCGTTTAAAAGGTTCCCAGGCCCTGTGATGAAAAGTAGCCAATTTTCAAAGGCTTAAAAGAGGAACATCTGGGGAGGAAGAAAAAACATAAAGGAAAAGGGAAAGAAGAATAAAAATCCCACAAACCCACCACCACCACCAGCCCAAACCTGGCGCCCCGGCCCAAGGACCCGCACCCCGCGCTCTGGGGACGCTGTCTCTCGGCGGGGCCGCACCCCACGGGCAGC